ACGTATTTGTGTGGGTAGTTTTGTGCAATTTCATCATATGAAGCCTTGCATAACTACTCTCACCTGTGGTTATCAAAATACTCATCTATGCCATCTAACACAAGACTCCTTTGTTTTGCATTTTTATAGCTATACCCATTTCTTCCTCTCTGTCCTTAACTCCTGGCTGCCACTAATCTGTTTTCCATCTTTATAATTATGTTATTTCAGAAATGTTACCTAAATGAAATCATGCAGTATGCATTCTTTGGAGATTGGCCCTTTTCATTCAGCATAATTTCTATGAGGTTCGTTGAAGTTGTTGCGTGTAGCAATGATTTGTTCCTTTTTATTGCTGAGAAGTATTCCTTTTGTTAGACATATCACAGTTTATTTCATCATTTATTGAAGGAGATTTAGGCAGTTTCCAGGTTTTGGCAATTGCTATGTGAAAAATAAGTCTTCATTTCTCTGAGATAAATGCACAAGAATGCAAATGCTTGTTATGGTAAGTCCATTTTTAGTATTGAAAGGAACTGCCAAACTTTTTTTCTGAGGGGGTATACCCTTTTTATCTCTCTACCAGCAATCTATGTATGAGTAATCCATTTTCTCTGTATCATTGACAGCATTCAGTGTTATCATTGTTTTTTATTTTAGCTATTCTGATGTACCCTGCATCTTCATGAGATAATTTGGAATGTTCATTGTCAACTGTTTTTATAAAAGTCTGAATTCAGCTCACAAAAAGTGATTTAGGGGTCAGGATACAGTGTTTACAAAAGCTAAATGTAAGACCCTCTTCATAGCATCAGAGTAGGGGTGTGTGTGTGTGTGTGTGTGTGTGTGTGTGTGTGTGTGTGTGTGTGTGTGTGTGTTTAATTAACAAGTGATATAGGCCCAGAGTTAGCATGAGATGGGAGCACTGAATCTATTGGCCTCTCTGCCTCAGTCGTTCATCCTGAGCAGAATTTAAGCTTAGTGTTTTGGGACAACATGGCCATTAAGTAAGATAGCTGCTTAATGTGGTGCTTGATTGAAGAAACAATCTCTTCTAGCTTGGAGGAAAACCTGACATTGTTGAAGTTAATGAAAAGATATATAATCTCAAACATGGCATCTTCCTAAGATGTTAAGAAAACTAAAGCATTAGGAAGATTTCAAAACAAGCTGTATATTTACTTGATTTTTACATTGCATGCTATCTTTTAAAGAACCTAATCCCCTAATAAGATATGAGGATATTGTATTATCAGAACAGCATTTTCCAAGAGTGCTGGACAACAGCATGGGTATTTTGAACAAATCCTTAAGAGAGAGATTTGTGGAATAAAAGGTCCCTTTCTGCTAAGATTTAGCTGGTTACCCTGGGTCAGACACATAACATTTCTATTTTAGTTTCTTCCATTGTGAAAGTGGGAGCATTGGACTGGATGATGGGTGTCTAAAGTCCCTTCGGATCTTAACTTGTGAATTAGCTGTGCCAAAAGCAAGAAGGTGAAAGAAAGGCCTGACAGTTATTTAGAACAGAAACTAAAGTTTATTTTTCTGCCACAGACTAATGAAGGACTAAAGTTAATTTCCATAGTGTGAGAATTAGGGAGAAAGAGAACCTGGTCTGAGCCAAGGATGGTTTTATCAAACAATGCTTCTTAATTTTTCTATCTTTTCTAATAGTGGAAGACAGTTAGCCTAAACCACAAAGGGACTGGGGGCCTAGTCCAAACCTTGAAAGCTTGATTTTTTTTTAGCCTAATGTTTTATCTTAAAAATTCTTGGAAATTTTGCTTTCTCCATAACATTTTCTAAATCAGAATGTTTCCCTATAAGTTGAGTACAGTGAACTCTTTAGAAAAGATGCACCATGTTTATTTCTTATGGGTTTGTGTACCCTTTGACATACTACCTTAAGGGGAGAAGGAGGTAGGGAAGGGGAAGGAACATAAGTAGCCACTTTAAAGAAGTATGTTCAAGTATCTGTGTTCTTGACTTCACAGTCGGAGCTAAACTATGTACCCTTTTTCTCCGGTGTATGTGGTCAATGAAAGAGCCTATTTGCTTTAAGTGTTTGAACATCTTGGTAGTATAGTAGAAAATATTCTTGCTTTAAAATCAGATCTGAGTTTCTGGCACTTTCTGGCCTATCCTGTTTCATGTTATATAAAGTAGGAATAACAATGTTTGTCTTCAAGAGTGACTTCGAGATTTATTGCACTGTCTTGCATAATAGGCACCTAGGAGCTAACTATTATATCCTTCTTGGTTGCTTGTGAATTATTACATGCTCTTAATTTTTGCATTCATGGGAGCACTAGCTAAGATCTAGTAGCCAGTTCTGAAGACTTAGTTTGTATTATAGGCCTTGCTCAAAAATCAAGTGTATGAAACTTAGATGTCAGCTTTGACGTTTTGATTGTATATATCATAATGCTTTTGTAGATAAAATACATAAATCAAAATTAACTAAAATATTAATAAAGAAATGTTTAGATTACTTTTGGTAGTATCTTTACAGTTAGTATATCAGGCTGTGTATTTTCTAGCCTCAAAGGAGTGTTAATAAACAATAGTAAATCATCTAATGGTTGGTATTTATGGTAATTATGTTCATTAAACTTAAAGTATTTTCTGGCAGTTGCTAAGCATCTCTTTCTGAGGTATTAGCTTCATTCTTTTGTTCAAGTGAGCTACAGAAAGACTGACTTAAGGCTTTGAATGATCCATTGTTACTATTTCCTTCTTTCATGTGTAGTGTTTTATCCTCAAAGCACAAAGAAATTACAAATAATCCTATCTGCAAACAACACTGAAACCTGTTTAACTTGTTCTTATTTTTTTTTCCTTCTGGTATTAATATCAAGGTGTTTAAATTCTATATGAAGATTTTGTTCATTAAAATTGAAAATATACTAAGCAAATTTTTAAAAACTTTGCTTAGAGAACTGGATCTCTGAAAAACTTTAAATTTTCACTTAACATTTATATAAAGACTATTAATTTCTGTTGACAGTGATAATAATACAGTTTTTTTTCAGGGTTTCTTAAACAGTTGATTTAAGCCAAATGCTGAACAAAAACTTTCTGAATAAGAATAATACTGTAGATGAAATTCTGTAAACAAATCATTATCACATTTCACAAATGAAATTAAGAATGCAAAAATAAAGAACATTAGCCTCACTTGTAAGAATAGTCGTAAGTTGTTCATTCCTTTTAAACAGAGACTTCAAAAGACCATATTAACATAAATTAGAAATTATGTTGTAATGTTATTTTGCTAAACTTTTAAGCATAACTTGAATATATTAGTGCATTTTAAAATGGTTAGCTTTGTGTTTAAGTACGTTTTGTGTTTTTCTTCTGGTATCTAAAATTAAGTATAAATTTCCCATTTTGGAGAAAAGAATTCACCCCAGAATACAAATTTCCGTATATGCTTAAGAGTGTTTTAGCTTCTTTAATTTGTGTAATTTGAATAGCCCTGTTTTGGGTTAAGCTTGTGGAGACTAAATAATTAGCCAAGTTTAATAAATTCTTATTTCAGCATTACTTTTTGAAAAAAATATTTATGCAAGCAATGTGAAATAGTGGAGAGAATATGAAACCCAAATTCAGATTTAGGTTCAAGTTCTGCCTCTTGATAATTTGACCTTTGGCAAAGATTGAAATATTCTTGGCTTCTTTCCAAGTAACGCCTGCTTTGCCTGTCTCACATGTTTGCTATGAAAATCAAATGAGATAACATATTAAAAAGGAGCATTTAAATATTAAGGTGAAAATTGGTCTAAACAAATAACACTAATTCCTCCATCATCAGCGAGGTTCAAGCTGTAGTGATCACCTTCAGCTAGAACAGCGGCAGAACAAGACTGAATACCAAGAAAAAGCTCTGACAGAAGAATGCTCTACTTGTTTTTGAAAAAAGGTGATGAGGCTTTATAAACAGTGCTACATGAGTAACAAAATGAAAAGTAAACACATAGAAAAATGAGTACAATTCTAGAATGTTAGAGCTAGAAAGCATCTGGGATTTTCTAGCCAAGTCCTCTTATTTTATGGATGAGGTATCCAATAAATTTTGTAGTAGTAACCCAAGATGCATTTCTCAAGGTGGTTAAGGAGATAGAGGTTTTGTAAGTGTATAAGGCATAAAAATCACAATTTTATCACTGACTTATAATGTAACTTGAAGCATAACATCTCTAAGCCTTTTTCTTTCTAAATCGGGGCTAGTAATAACCTAATCTATTGGGTTGTAGTAAAGGAGATGATATATGTAAAGTGCTTAGCACACTTACGGCACGTGATATACACTCAATAAATGGTGCCTTTATTATTTTTTTAACTGTTACACAGAATCTTCCAGAACATTGTTCACTCCCTTTGCTTAATTTGTTCAAAATAATGGCTAATAACCCAGCTATCTTTCACTGAAACAACCCAAACAGTAATCTTTATGTGTCTCCCTGTGCACCTACAAGTATGAGGAAATTATTTCTGTATCTCAGTTTTGAAAAGGTTATTCTTAAACAGTTTTAAACATTAGGAAGTTTCAAAATAGAAGTTGGAAAATCTAATGTAAATGATCATCTATTTGTCGTCTAAGTTGTCACAATTTAATAAAGAACTAAAATGGCTTAGGTGCTTAAGCAGTATGACTGATGGATTTTATGGGATATGAATATCATCTCCCCCCAACCCCTAGCACTTTTCTTGAATAAAATGACTGGATCGACTTTTGTTTCATTCAACCCACTAAACATCTGTGACCCTTTTCTTTTTCCTTGTTAGGAATCACTGTCTATTTTGGGTCTATGTAATGTATGTTTAACAGAGCCAGGACTGTCTTGTTCATCTTATGTGTTTGGTATGCACAGTGCCTTGAACATGATAGGCATGTTAAGTGTTAACTTTTTTTAACAGGTTTTAGTTGAGGAAAAGTTGTATAGTGATTTATATAGAATCAATTAAATTATATCATTTTAAAAGTTAATTATAGATTTTAACATTTTTAATTTCAGATTTCCTTTTTTTCTGGGGAACTGTATTTTTGATAACAACAACTTTAGTTGCCCTTCTGAAAAAAGAAAACAAAGAAGTATCAGTAGAAAAAGAAGAAACCCAAGGGATCACAGATACTTACAAACTGCTTTTTGCAATTATAAAAATGCCAGCAGTTCTGACATTTTGCCTTCTGATTCTGACTGCAAAGGTAAGAGATTTATAAAGTAAATTTACCATTCCATTATAATTACCAATATCATGGAATACTTCGATTGCCTTTTCATAAGTCCCTTTCCATTACTATTAGGATTTAACAATAAAAAACAGTGATTTTGGTTTATGAAAGGTGTTTTAAAAAGGATGATGATACAAATATAATTTGAACATAAGCTACATATCTTGAGATCTTAAAGAGAATTTTGCCAATTTGAAGTAATTCTAATAAATGTAAAATTTAATGAATGATATTAATGTGTGGTATGGAAGTGAATGCCTTGAAAAATAAATAGCTCTCTACTGTTATAATGAGTATACATTTAACCTCAGAGGTAGTAAAATTATTTACTTAGGATGTGATTTCCAAGATATAGAAATGTGTGAGTATTAGAAGTCAATGTAAAAATCAATTGAACTTTTTAAGTGTTAGAATTAAATATACCATCAAATAAATGGGGATTTTGGTGATTTTTGTTTTATTTTGTATGTGTTCTGTATTAAGATGTCCTAATTTTATAGTTATAAAACATTTTAAGACATCTTAAAAGAAAGGTAGATATACTTCTTTATAGTGAGCTATTGCTAGTGTTGGAATTAATATTCCTAAAATCTAAAATCAGTTATAGGAGTTTCATATTATATATTTAAACATGTCTATATAAACACTTTACAGCTATCTTTTGACAAGCCTGAAGTAAAAATTGTAGCCTCAATGTTTTGAAATAATGAATTTTTCTTCCTCTGATGATAGAGTGGGTTAAATTTTAAGGAAACATTAGGAAGGTTTAAATTTAAGGGACTTCAAGTTCAACTTTAGAAAATGCTGGAAGGTTCAAGGAAGGTAATATTATCTAATTACATAATTTAGAGATAACCTTTGGTAACATTTTTGGTATATTTCCCCAGTCCCCATTCCCCTCTATATGTGCATATATATGTGCACATGGGTATACATAAAATTATATATATATAAATATAACTAATAAGTTAGTTATACTCAATAAATTAGTATTAATAATATATATTTATATGCACACAAATACTTTAAAGTGTAATTAGATCACACTGTATATAATTTTTATCTTGTTTTTTGTCTTATTCTATATTCCTATATCATTAAATGATATTTGAAAATACTTTTTAATAGTATAATTTTTAATAGTATATAATTGTCACAGTATAAATTTTCAATTTGCTCAATCATTTCTCTGTTGCTTACTTTTTTTGATTATAAAAATGCACTAATGAATATTTTTGTGCATAAGACTTTTTTGATGTTCTGAATATTTCCTTCTAAAAGATTCTTTTTTAAAAGATTTTCATTATAATACAGCTAACATACAAACAATATTGTATTAGTTTCAAGTGTATGACATAGTTATTCAGTATTTATATACCTAAAGAAGTCATCACCATGATAAGGGTAACCATCTGACACCATACAACATTATCACAATATTATTGCTTATATTCCCCCATTACTTATTTGTTTTATACTGGAAGTTTGAACCTCTTATTTCTCTTGTCTTTCTCCCCCTTTTTTGATTTTTCAAATAGTTGATAGTCCATATTATTTTATATTAGTTTCAAGTGCACAGCTTAGTGATCAGACATTTATATAATTTACAAAGTGATCCCCCGGCTAGTTTAGTATCCACCTAGCACTATACATAGCTATTACCATGTTATTAACTACATTCCCTATGCTTTACTTTACATCCCCATGACTATTTCATAATTACCAGTTTGTCCTTCTAATCCCAACCATCAGCTTGTTCCCCGCATCTATAAGTCTGTTTTTGTTTTATTTTGTTCTTTAGATTCTACATGTAAGCGAGATTATATGGTATTTGTCCTTTTCTGTCTGACTTATTTTACTTAGCATAATACCTTCCAGGCCTATCCATGTTGCCACAAATGGTAATATTCTGTTCTTTTTATGGCTGAGTAGTATTCCATTGTATATATGTACCTCCTCTTCTTTATGCAGTCATTTATTGATGGGCAGTTAGGTTGCTTCCATAGCTTGGCTATAGTAAATAATGCTGAAATGAACATAGGGGTGCATATATCTTTTTTGAATTAGTGTTTTGGATTTTTTTCAGATAAATACCCAGAAGTGGAATTGCTGGGTCATATGATACTTCTATTTTTAATTTTTAAAATTTTCTGTATCGGCTGCACCAATTTGCACTCCTAGCAACAGTGCACGAAGGTTCCCATTTCTCCACATCTTTGCCAATACTTGTTGTTGATTTATTGATGATAGCCATTCTTGTAGGTGTAAGATGATATCTCATTGTGGTTTTAATTTGCATTTCTCTGATGATTAGTGATGTTGAGCATCTTTTCATATATTTATTGGTCATCTGTATGTTCTCTTTGGAGAAATGTCTATTCAGGTCCTCTGCCCATTTTTTAATTAGGTTGTTAGTTTTTTTGGTGTTAAGTTGCATGAGTTCTATATGAATTTTGGATATTAACCCTTTTTGGATGTATCATGGGCAAATATCTTCTCTCATTTAGTAGGATGTCTTTCTATTTTATTGAAATATCACAGAAGTAATATTGTGACATCTTCAAGGGAATTACATCAGGAGCCATATCATGTCCCTTTATTCCATTAACTGTTGTTAACTTTGATTACTCTGTTAACCCATTATAAAGTTACTTTTCTTTTGTAATTAAAAACTAGTTTATGGGGAGATACTTTGATACTATCTAAATATCTTATCTCAAACTTTTTATTCACTACTTTTAGCATCGTTACTTTTTTTGGTTTTTAAGAATTAATCTAGCTGTACTTTTTCTTCCTCCTCATTTTATTCAACCTCTCAGATATATTTTCTCAGAATTACTTTGAAATGTTAGATGACTTTTGGAAATTTTAATATAGATATAGTCGGTCAGAAATCATAAAAAATGTGTATATGTGTGGCAGTGATGCTTCATTTTAACAGATTTGGAGTCAATTAAAGCCTTTTCTTTTATTCTTTAAACATACAAATCAGTAAGTTTGGATTTGGACCCCGTTTATTATGAGATTGAACTTTTTGAAATGGAAATTTAGTTGTAACTAGAGCTATCTATAGTTCCTAAGAGTGCTGAATTTTCAATTGTTTTCACTGACTGTTGTTAGTAGCTCATAGGGTAAAATGTACTTTTGTAACTTGAATGTTGTGCCAGATATAATAATATGATGTTTATTTATAACTGGCATAGGTCAATAAAGAGATTGAGGTTCTTGAAGAACTGACATATGCTTGGAGGAAAATATTTCACAAATCACGAATTAAAATATTTTTTTTGTTTTTATATTGCAGATTGGGTTTTCAGCAGCAGATGCAGTAACAGGACTGAAATTGGTAGAAGAAGGAGTGCCCAAAGAACATTTAGCCTTATTGGCAGTTCCAATGGTTCCCTTACAGATAATATTGCCTCTGATTATCAGCAAATACACTGCAGGTCCCCAGCCACTAAACATATTTTACAAAGCCATGCCTTACAGGTAAAAACAAAATAAAACCTTATTAAATAAGAAAGGTTAAATGAGGAACATTCATAAATATCACAAATATCTGTGTGTAGAGTATATATGGAAAAAGGCTTGAAAAGCATCTTTAACTTCAATATCATTTATATGCACTTTTAGCTCTTTTTAACCTCCTAACAGGTCTTAGATAAAGGCTTCTTTCATAGGATAGACACAGATTTTTGTTTCTGTTGTTTTTTTAACCTAAAATAGAAGTCAACTCTGTGTTTCTTTCTTTTTCCATAGATTATTGCTTGGATTAGAGTATGCTGTACTGGTTTGGTGGACTCCTAAAGTAGAATATCAAGGGGGATTCCCTATATATTACTATATCATAGTGCTACTGAGTTACGCATTACACCAGGTAAGCTTGTGGTGGTTTTCTCAGGAAGTAAACTGTTCTTTGGAAAATAAGACATATTTTTGTGGTTGCCTTAAAGTAATGATAATAAGATTTAAACGTGACTGACAGTGAAGAAATTATTGACAGTGAACTTTAAATCTTGTAACTTTTGATTTAATGAGTTCTATTTGTGGAAAGAGAGTTCATTCACTTCACTTTTTGTTTGTTCATTCAACAAGTATTTTTCGCATTTCAGAATTTATTCCAAAGCTAATAATTCTACCTTTGCTAAGTATTCCTCAGTCCATCCCTAGACTTGGATTCTTTCTTCTATTCCTGATATTGTTTCTCTCTGTACTGAGAAATAATGTGGGCTACTGGGTTAGAGGTCCCAGGTGTTTGGTTTAGATCCTGTATTGAAAGTTATGACTTTTTGTGGTTTTGGAAGCTGTGTATTAATCTGCTTTTTAAAACAATTTATGTATTAAATATGTTTGTAATCCATAAAAGAAGTGATCCCCACTTTGCCCTAGCCTGACGTAAGTTGTAGAATGGAGTTTTGTTCTGGGGGCAAGTGATTCAAGTAAATGGCAGATGCCCAGCAGTAACCTTTGGGCTGCAACTGCAGTTATTGCTAATGTATATTTCAGAGTTACTTTGGATTTTTCTACGGAACCTAGCTTAAATTTCAAAAAATTTGAAAGTTATATTTACCTTCTGCTCACTTTGTTTTTAACTGAAACTCAAAAATATGCCCACCAAGTAATCTCAATAATTTTTTGCATACAATTATATCATTTAGAAGAACTCCATAGTGGATCAGGTTAGACTAAGTGCTTGTAAATCATTGAGGCAAGGGTGTCAAATACATTTTTCTCCTGTTTTGCACATACTTAGTTAATACTAGGCACAAAATAAAAGTTAAAAGAAGTGCTTTAGCTTAGTAAATGGTTCACTATCTGTGTAAGTAAAAGAAAACTGTGATGTAGTAGTCCAAAAATCATTTGTTTGTTTTTGGATTTCACTAGAGAATTTCCCAAAGTGTAGTCATTGAATCTCAGACAACCAGATGCTTTGTGAGAAAAAATGTACAAGGCCAAGTACATTTGAGAAATGATACATGACATAATCCCTCTTTATGTAGCATCTTAATCATTCTTCCAATGAATTTTAAGTGGATACCTATTCCATGCCAGAAACCATTCTAAGTACTAAAATATAATAGTGATAAAATCATGCCCAAATCCCTGCCCTTAATGAATATATTTCCTAAAGGCTTTCAGAAGGCATACAGTGAAAGGGACCTGTTTAATTTTGTGTCACTTAGTGTTTCTCAGTCTTATTTGATATTGGAACATCCCATGGAACAGTATTTGAAGGAATGCTGTTTTGTAAACATGGTTTGTTTCCATGTTCTTAAATGGAGGGTTAATTCTTGTCTCTAAGCACTTTTGCCTTTAAGGAGATTTTTCTCTTCAGTTTGTCACATAAATTTTGAAATATTTTTCTTCTATATATGTAGAAGAAAATAATATATGTAAATAATTATAGAGTCATATCCCCTTGAATATATTTGAGTGCTTACGTGTATTATATATCCATATCCATATACATATATATATATAAATAGGTATACACACATATATGGTATATTTAGGTACAGTATAAATACGGGGTTTTGCTTTATTGCTATATGCATCATTCAAGACCATCTCATCTGTTATTTTCTCATTTGAGCCTTCCTTGACTACTTATGGTAGAATTAATCTCTCATTTATTTAGGCCCCCATAGCACAATGAGTATACTTCTATTTAGAATACTTACTGTTTCATCATAATAATTTATTCCCTATTTTCTCAGCCTAGAATAAATCTTGAAAGGCAGAGAGATTCTTCTTAGTGTTCTTTATATTGCCATCATCTGGCTTAAAGCCTGGCCAATAAGAAGTATTCAATAAATGTTTGTTGACTTGAGTTTAATAAGAGTCATGAAAATTAATTTTCAGATGTATTATTTCAATTTTCTTAATTCAGACTATAGCTTTTTATAGTCTAATCATACTACAGATGTTTTACATTTTCCTTGTAGGTTACATTGTACAGCATGTATGTTTCTGTAATGGCTTTCAATGCAAAGGTTAGTGATCCACTTATTGGAGGAACCTATATGACCCTTTTAAATACGGTGTCCAACCTGGGAGGAAACTGGCCTTCGACAGTAGCTCTTTGGCTA